TGGAAGTGAGGTAGAGGGAATTTATGGAGCAGGCCAGAGCACATGGCTGAATCCCCTTGAAGTCTGTGATGTCTAAGACATCACGTTTTGATGAGTTGACTCCCTGAGTTTGGATCTGATGCTGGCCCTAGACTTATGTTATTGCATTTGTGGCCCTGAAAGGAAGAAAGGGATGAAGGAAAGAAGGAAGAATGGAAGGAAGGGAGGAAGGAAAGGGGGAAAGAAGCTAGCTAGTGTTTCAAGTTATGAGGATTGAGAGCTCTGTGGATCCTAAATCTTTCACTCTTTACTGACTCATGTCCTAATTATGAGACAACTGAGAAAACAAGGTGTGACCTCAGAGAGAGGGGTGCCTCCAATTTCCTATACGGATGACGGGAACAGATGCCCAGTGTTGACTCTTCAGCGAACCCAGAGCATTAATGGGGAATCCTCCTTGAACCGAATTTCAGAAGAACAGGCAAGTGTTCACATGTGCCTTTCCCGCTAATGCCAGCCTGATGCCTGAGCCTACAAAGGAATAACAGTCAAGAGAAAAGTAGACATGTCTCGTTTCTCTTTGGTCTGAACATTCTGAAGCGGGAAGAGTCATGACATACGCAGCTTTAGGGAGAGCGTGAAATTACAAGTGTTGTCCGTTGACAGCCTGTCTTTTGAAGCTGTCTCATTAGACCGTCCATCCTTGCCCAGGTCAGTTTCAGTCCTCCAGACTCAATTACCTCTGGCCACCCTACTCGCCGTCACCCCACCGAAGTTCTGCCACAGCCCCATGGATACCTGCACCCACATTTAACTCCCAGCCCTCCACTCACAAGCTGTTTAATCTCACGCAAGTCATTGAACTTCTCTGAGCCTCGTGCCCTGTTGATGGGATGACAAATTGGCGCAGCCTTTTTGGAAGGTAATTTCACAGTAATGATTAAAATGTAAAATGTGGATATCATTTTTGGGAATTTATACCTAGGAAATAATGAGATGTTAGTGTCAAATGATATGTACAAGGATGTTCACTGTAGTGTTATTTATTATAGCGGGAAAAAGAAAACAGCATATGTTCAACATTAATGGCTTAATAAACTGTGGTGCATACGGCTGATACAAAAGGTGGCAAATTAAAATTATACTTCCAAAGAATATTGAAAGAAATGGGAAAATTCTTAATGTATGATAGTAAGTGAAAAATCAGTATACAGAACTGAATATGTTGTATGAACTGAGTACATACTATTAATGCATTTTCTTCATGTTCTTTTGTATTTTCTAAAAGTTTCACAACAAGCATATACTACTTCCTGGGTACCGAAAAGAAAATCAGGAAAAGTTAAAATGTATTTAAATAGCTCCCACCACCTACAGGGTGAAGGACAACCTTCCTAGCAAAGGATTTTCACAAACTGACCCTATCCTAACTTTGCACCTTCATCTTCCCCCTGTCATCATGTCCCTTACACTTGCCATATCCACCCCAAGCTACTTGCCATTCTATGTACACATTATAACCATTCACACTGCCATGCCTTTATCCTGCCTGCCTTCTCCAGCCAAAATGACCTTCTCCTCGTTTTCAAGAACTATTTCAGGCTTCTCTACCTCTTCCTTGACAGTTGTTTCCTGCCCTTTCCTCCTGCAGAACATTTTTATATATACTCAATAATTACTTATCTCGTGTCTGTCATTCTCACTTTACCTTCCTCCAAGGTTTTGTGAGAACACCAAGGATGGAACACTAACTCTGTCTTGGAGAGTCAGGAAAGGATTCATAGAGGAGAGTTCCAGAAAAATGATTATGAGTGTGTCCACCAGACAAAAGACAGTAGACATCCCGCACAATTCTGGAATGAGTTTCCAACTGACAGGCTCTTGGATCTGTGTCTTTCATAACACTTGTCTCACTGCATAGTGTGTCGCATGTGGGTACATGTCTCTCCCCTACCAGACAGCGAGGTCATTAAGGGCTGGAAATGTGCCTTGTTTGCCTCGCAGTGTTCAGCCCACTGCCTGGCACACAATGGGCATCAAAAATATATTTTTGTCCTAGAGTATGAACGTCTGAAAGTATCAATACAGTAATTACCTTTCTCCTTGTCTTACTGTGAATGAGGAAAATATATTCTCATTGTTGCTTTTCACTGATTTCAAGTATGAGCCCAGAGACACTGAAAGCACTTTATAGTCTGCTGATTTGAACCAAATTGAAGAAGTTGTTCGCCTGGTAGGCATTAAGAGGATGTTCTGCAGAATTTGGACTTTATTTGAGTATAAGAATTCCAACAATATGAGCTTTGCTTCCCCTTTAAACAACGTGCCACAGCTTCAGAATGATGCCTTTGAAATAAATCCTGTGTGAGTAATGTTTCTCTTGGACTCATAAAATCTTTATGGAAATCTTTTCTCATCTCATAGACTATGAGAAGGAAGAGAGAGCCAGAACCACTGAGCCAGAAGTGGAGAATGCAGTATTTTTTCATATGTGGGTCACGCATTTAATGTAAATAGTTTTTAAATGCAAATCCAATACCGACTACACATTAGCTCAAAAATCCTAGCTCTGTCCAAAGTGCTGAATCTGTGAGTTAAGATCTCTTAATCTCTGATTAAAGAGTAGGTGGTATGGAAATGTATTCATTCAAATAGAAAGTTTGAATGCATTAAAAGATCCAGTAATAGCTATACTAGGGATAAGAACACAAATGTTGGCAGGAATAAAACAACAACTTAGTACCACCCCCCACCCCAGAAAAAAAAAAGAGAGAGAGAAACAATAAGTAAATAGAGCTAAGCTCCTGTTATTCAAGGGAACATTGACTTGTGATCCAGGCATTCATTCAACATACATCTCTTGAGTGCCTAGTATATAATAGGCATTATACTATGACATTAAAGTAGATGAATCATAATTTTTGTTCTCCGTGAGGTCACAATCAGTGCTTGCTCAACCACTGACCAGCTGTTGACCTTGAGCAATTTACTGAGCTTTTCAAGCCTCAGGTGTCTCATTTAAAAATTTGGAATAATAGGATATCACAAGATTATTGCACAGAATTCAGTATTATAAGCTCTCAATGAATGTTAGATATTAATATTAGAGGTGATGCTCTATACCAGGCATCCCCAAATTACGGCCCGTAGGCCACATGCAGGTGTTTTTGCCCATTTGTTTTTTTACTTCAAAATACAATATGTGCAGTGTGCATAAGAATTTGTTCATAGTTTTTTTTTTAACTATAATCCGGCCCTCCAGTGGTCTGAGGGACAGTGAACTGGTCCCCTGTTTAAAAAGTTTGAGGACCCCTGCTCTATGCTAAGTTCTTTATATACATTTTCTCATTTATTCTCTCATTTGCTCTATGCCAGTCATGTTGAATTCATTTCAATATTCCCTTTACCCCGGTGAGTAAAATGGGGCTCAGAAGAATGGGGTAAGCTAACTTGCCCAAGTTCATACAGTTAGCAGTCTGGACAGAATGCAAAGCTGGTTCTTTCTTCCTCTATAGCCAACGCTCATGATTATGGTGATGCTGGTTAGAGCAGGAGCTGGGGACAGACCAACCTTCAGTGTCAGCCATCCAGGCTACTAAGGCAGACTACCCTTATCTGGACCGGCATTTTTCATAAGGCTAAGTCTAAGGGAGCAAGATGGGCAGGTGACTCAGGTGCTTGTGTGACTTTTAGGTCAGGGACACTTGTGGGTTGATAGAAATGTGGAGGAGGAATCCCAACCCTTGAGAAAATGGGCCCAAAGCCCAGCCATGCAGAAGGAGCTTCACCAGGCTCCCAGCCGGCTGCTGTGGGGGCAAGCCTGGGGACCAGAGACCAGGGCAGACCGGTCAGGCAGATGGGCCACACTGGGGTGGAGTGACAACCAAGGCTGCACGGACTCCAGGGACTGAATCCCATGGCTTGTGGCACCTTAGATGGGGGTTGGAGGGTGCAAAAGACTATTTCCAGAATCCACTTGACAGGAGGGAAAGGGGTTCGTGATGAATTGCCTGCTGGAGTCTCACTGTCACTGGGACAGGGCAGAGTGGCCCTGAAATACGTGGCTAAGTAAGGGCTGGGCAAAACCTGGCATCATAGAAGCCACTGTCTCACACACTCCATTTGGAACCTCCGGCTGAGAGAACTCTTTGATCGTGCTGGTCTGTGTCCCATGGAGCAGGGACAGTGGGGGTTCTGAATTAGTGACAACACATTATTACCTCAGTGGTGAGAATGTGCTTTTTCTTTTAGTTCAAAAGAGCTTATGATTCAGTCCTATGGGCTCACATAAATATATGTTCTCTTTGCTTTCCTCCCTGTGGCAAATTGAAGTACAAAACACAACAATACTCCTCCCCAAGGCTGTCCCATAAACAATGGCAGCTGTTTGGATTCCCTTGATTGAAATCGGAAAGGTCACATCTCAGTAGCGTCTTTGGGGCTCGCTTTTACAATTTGTGACAATCCCGGGCTGTCCTGGGGCCTCCCTACCGTGTCCTTCCAGTTCTGACCTTCCATGGGTATCTTTCAAACACAGACTTTGGCCAGCCGTCAAGCAGGTAAATGGATCAATGAGGGCTGCTCATCGAATTGTGCTCCCTGGACCTCTGTCTGCTGCTCTCAGCCTCTGCTGCTGCTGCTGCTCTCAGAGCAGTGGGGGGAGCAGATGGCTGTGCCGTGTCATGACAATGGCTCCTTTGAAGAGCCTTTGCTCAGTCCTTCTCCTTTAAGCTGGCGAGGTCAGGGGCAGCTGTGCCCCACACCCCGGCAGCTCAGGGGAGGCCAGTGTTGGTGTCTGATAAAAGTCAGCAGGGGTCCCTGGAATGGACCACAAGCTGGTCCCCCACTCGCCTGTGATGTTGTTTGTCCCCACTACAGGGGAAGAGTGGTTGCTCACATCTCAGGGGGCGCTGGCCTCATCCCCAGCTGAAGCTGAAGGGAAAGCATGTTGCGTGCAAGAAAACAAAGCGGGATTCTGCGTTTATTTCCAACGCCTTATCTTCATGCAGTAATGTCTCGGGGCTGGCTCCCAGCTTGGGAATCAGAAGGTTTAGTGAACCAATACATGGAACAGAAAGTGCTGGACAGCAACTCTCAGGTAGTACACAGAGTCCCAAATGGTCCCTCTGGTCCCCGAGTCTGCCTGACCTTCTGACTCTAGGGACCCAACTGACTCTCAATGTCTACATGTCTCAATTCAGATTATCAAGAGAGAGACTCTGATTGGCTCCGCTCATTCGTCAAGTGTCGGCTGCTTGTCCCCTCAGCTGCAGCGAGGACGGAGCAGGCTCAGCTGGTTCCGCCATAGCTGCAGGGGCCCAGATCTTCAGCAAGGATTGGGGCGTCTGGGGGAAGGGAGCGGGGCAGTCCTGAGAAGGAGGCAGGGGCTTGGCAGGCAACCTGGGACATGTCTTCTCCATTCGCTTAACCTCCCTCTCTTCTCTTGGTCTTCCTCAGGAGGATGACAAAAAATATTCTTTTCATCCATCCCCTCGAGCTAAACAAAATAATACAGACGAAAGGCCTGACGCTCAGTGGAGAGGACTCGAGAGCCATTTCAGGGTGCCCTCACCACTACAGTGTTGTCTAGCAGGCTTTCACAGTCTGCAAAAGGGAGCTCTGTAAATACCAGGGATTTCTGTGATTATTGTGAATCCTCTAAGCAGCTAAATTTCCCAAATTCTCAGAGTTGTAATGCCTTGGGATTTAGAGATATAATTAAGAACAGATGAGCCTCACAAAGGTTGATGGCGAGGATCTGGGATTGCACCAAACAGCCGAGACAATTTGGATGTGAGTTCCAGGCCTTCATCTCCCCCGAGTGGTAGCAGGCTGGGGACTGGAGGGGCTCAGGGGGACTGGAGGGGCTCAGGGGCATACAGGACCTTGGTTACGGGAGTCCTGGCCTCTCTTTCTCCCAGAACTTGTGACACAACCTACACACCCACGCAACAGGTTAGGAAGAGGCGATGCTGAGTCAGCCTTGGGCTTGGCGCCATGGCCGCCCGGACAGCTTTCTGCTGTTGCAAGAGAGACAGAGACAGTCCAAGTCTGGCCCATTTCCTCCCAGGCAGCCATTTGCCTCCTGCCCACACATCAGTCCTGCCAAAAGAGGGCCTGTGCCGCAGCCCTGGCTCGTTCTCCTCCCTCTCTAGTTTCTACTCATTTCCCAGTGTTTTTCTCTGACTTTATAACCTCCTGAAAGGTATAGAAATACCAGCAAGGCAATACTACATTTTATTTGATCTATCGACTGCAGCAGCTTGAATCTGTATTATCTGTCATGCCCAGATTGTTTTGACCTTCTTAAAGGAAATGAATGCTCTCTGAACCAGAGCCAAACAAGCAGCTTAGACCCATTTGCAAGCAAAAGTCTGGGGCCTGGGGAGTTCCAGAGCATTAAATCACCATCAAAATGGGAGTAGAGTCTTGAAGCTCATGATTTGGAGCAGCAAGGCATGGGAAGGTGCAATGACCCTGCAGCTGGTACAATGAGGATGCTAGAGCCAGGATGCCTGAGTTCTGCTGCTTGATAGCTGTGTGACCTCAGACAAGTTGCTTAACCTCTCTGTGCCTCCTGCTTACCTGCAAGCTGGAAGTTGTAATAGAATCTGCCTCATGGGGTTGCTGTATTAGATGAGTTAGCACATGTGAGGTTCTTAGAACAGTGCGTGGCATGCAGTAAGTGCTCAGAGTGGCATCTGTCTCCCAGGTGTGGCATAGGTGCTTTGTACTTTGTCTTCTCTTTTGACTCTCAGAATAACCCTGGGAGGTAGCTTTCTGTGTTCCCATTATGCAGAGGAAGAAATGGAATCTCTGATGTTCAATAAATTGCCCAGGGCCACACAGCAGGGACAGATTCGGAAACCCTGTGTGGTTTCTTTTGCTCCACTGTGACCAGTCCCCCTCCTGGTCAGCCTGGTTTCCAGCCTCTCCCCTCCAGTCCCCTCTGCTGCGTCTCTCGGTGCTCACTGGAATCTCGGCACCACCTCCTAGCTGTGAGAACACTCAGGCGCATTCCTTTATCTCTCTGAGCCTCAATTTTTTTATTTCTGTAAACTGGCACAGTGATGGAGGCTGCTGGGAAGGAGGAGAGCAGCTCCCGATGGCTGGAACTGGCCTGGCTCTCTCAGGCCTTGTGCTGCCGGGCGCCGCCCCGGCACCCACACCTAGGCCTTGGGGTTCTCCTGTCGGCCATAAATAATCTCACCGAATGTCAACGCCAGACAAGGCCACTCTAGGACCGTGATGGATTAAGATAAAAATAAGACCATTTCAAAATCATGTCTGAACTCAGACAGAAACAAGAACATTATTCAAAAACAAAAATGATCTAATAACCCTCTCCCTCCACATCTTGGCTAACGTGAGTGATGGTGGCTTCTTGGCCAATTACAACTCTTGTCTTGCTTCATTTTTCCTGCCTCCTAGATAAAATGTATTGAGTACCCAATCATAGAATTACACCAACTTCCAGACAGTATTGAATCCAGAGCAAAGCTCTGCTTCCTTGAGCCCTCCCCCAGATCACCTAAGACAAGCCCAAACCCTACAATAAATTCCTTCCAGCACCTTCTTACTGAGGCACTCCACAGTCCCTTGTGGTGTGCATTGTCCCTTACTGCCACCAGTTAATGCACCCAACTTCGTTCAATGGCAGGTAGATTCCTCGTGGTCTTTGGCTGGAGGCTGCCTCTAGCATTATATGTAAGGATGCCTGGAAAGCACTTAGAAATAGGGCCCAGTACAAGTAAGTGCCCAATCCATGCTAGTTATTAATATTATATTTATTTTAAAAATGCCCTTCTCCTCTGGACAGAGCTGTGGAGCACCCACTTACTCTCACTTGCCAGCCCCCTTCTTTTCCAAGTCCATGCAGATGCCCTCTTTTGCATTTTATAGATCTTTAGTGCACACTATAGACCTCACACCTATGAACACCTTTTTAGCCCATGACATTGGGGGCTGCTGCTTGCCCTGTCTTGGGGGTCGCCCATGGAGGATATTCTCCCAGGGTGTTTAGACAGCACAGAAGGGTGGAAGTGGGGCCAGGTTAGCAGTGGAGTGATGATCAGGTGTCAGCAGCCCTGTCCCACTCCTTGGCAGAGTTGACAGTGCACATGGAAGTTCCCTCACCCGCTTGCCAGGGCTGTACGGGCCAGAGGAGCCTGGCCAGATTCCTCGGCACAAATGTACTCGCAGCTGCATCGGCGAGGGGTAGCCCCGGGGACCGCAGAGTTCTTCCATGCCCACTGCTGCTAATTGCAGATAATGCATTAAAAATACAGAGCCGCATCTGTTCGTTTGAACATGGGTATCGAGGAATTTACGTGGTTTATAATGACAGGGTGTGAGGAGAGGAAAATGCTCATTCTGTCTGCAAGCCAGAGGCACAGCTGTGAGCAAAAAGCTGGAGGTGTGGTTTCTGGTGCCCGTCAAACTCTCTGGGTGCCAGCCAAGCCTACCCTTGGAGGCACAAAGGGATGGGGCCAGGTATTTCTCTGGAAATACCAAATTACGTAACCAGTCAAGCAGAGTGTGGGACCAGGTACCCAGGAGGCCTTCAGGTGCAACTCTGGAGTTTGCAAAGAGTTCCTGAGGGAAAGGGGACTGACCATTGCCAGGCACAGGACAGAGCAGGATGCCTCTCCTGATTCAGTTGTTCAGTTTCCAGCAAGCATGACCTGAGCACTTAACCTGGTGTTCAAGTTTGTAAAACGCGGTGTTTAAAGCACCTACCTCATTGGATTTCTTTATTAAGTAAGATAATTACATTAAATTGCTTCAAACAGTACCAGGTGTGGTGTAGGCATTCAATAAAAGTTTGCTATTATTGTTTTACTCTTATGTGAAGCATTATGTTAGATCTGAGGAGGAACACGGCAAAGCCCTTGCCCTCCTCAACCAGTTATGGAGAAAAACAATAGCTATAATGTGCTATTGTTAGGATGACAACGTATGGACTTACCTAAGCCGTTATGGGAACACAGAAGGGGTGAAAGGGTCAAAGAAGCTTCCTAGAGGAAGGAATACCTGATCTAAGTCCTGTAGGCGGAAGTTTACCAGACCTAAAGGGTGGGAAGGATGACCCAGCCAGGAGTAGCATGTGCAAAGGCCCTGGGAAGAGGGAGGAGAGGGTAGTGTTTCTGGGGGAAATATGGCATAGTAGGACCTTAGGGTGGGCGTATTGGATATCTATTGCTGTGTCTCATGGTATCCCAAAACCTAGTGGCTTGAAACAGCAGTCATTAGCTCATACTTTCTGTGCATTAGGATTCTAGGTGTGGCTTTGCTGGGTTCTCTGGCTTAGGGCTTCTCATGAGGCTGCAATCAAAGTGTGCACCTGGGCTGCATTGATCTCTCAGAGCTCAGCGGAAAAGGATTGGTTTCCAAGCTTATTCACATGGTTGTTTGCAGGATTCAGTTCGTCGGTGCTATTGACTAAAGACAGCCCTGAGTTCCTTTCCACAGGGCAGCTTTGAACACGCCTGCTTGCTTCATCAGAGCAAGCCAGAGAGAAGAACCCCAGAGAAAGGATAAGACAGAAGTGACTGTCTTTTTAACCTGTTATCAGAAGAGTCATGTTATCTGCACCCCATCATTTTTTTATGTATTCTGTTTGTTAGAGGCAACTCGCTAGGTCCAGCCCACACATAAGAGGAGGAGATTGCACAAGTGCATGGATTCCAGAGTCGTTTCTGGAGCTGCCTACCACAATCTGCCCTGTGGCCGGCCCCCAGTGATGTGTGTCCCTTCCACATGCAAATACAATCACTCCTTCCCAAGGTTTCCAAATGTCTTTTCCCATGATAGCATCAGCTGAAAGTTTAGAATCTCATCATCTAAATCAGGTTCAGGCGTGGATGAGGCGCTTGGCTATGTTTCCTTAAGTACAGGTTCTAGAATATTCTTACTCTGGATCTGGTGATCTGCAAAACTATAGAGATAAATTATCTGCCACCACATGCCCAACATACAATAGTGGGATAGGCATTCTGGCTATAAACATTCCTACTCAAAGAGGGTGGGAGGAATGTGAGGCACAAAGAATTAGTGGTCCATAACAATTTTGAAATTCAGCCAGGAAAATGCTGAAATTTTCTTGATTAGATTTCAAAGCCTGGGAATAATTCTCCAGCACTCTTAGCTCCACCTTCTAAGCTCTAAGTCACCCTTCCTTTTTCATGAGAGGAAGCATGTGTTTGAAGCTGATTTGTTTTTCTCTGCCTGTTTCCTGCTGAGACTTTTGGGGGTCCAGTGGCCTCTTTTTACTTTGTACTATCTCTGTCCCATTCTGTCCCAGCTGTCAGTGTTTATTCTGATAATAGTTTTCTCAAAACCTTTGTGGATCTTCTGTAAATCACACTGAGATTCTCCCTGTTACACAAAAGCCACACCCACAAATCTCTTTGAACTGAACCCTTCTCAACCTGGGCCTCCTGCTAAAACCTGCGAACGTGGCCAACGCACAGCCCTGTGCTTCCCACAGTCCCCAGCGTTTGATCTCAGGATCTGCGAGGCCTATCCTAACCTCTTTAGAGGGCCTTTGTGTGACGAAATAATACCGAGATCCTTGGGTCTGAGGCCTTAACCAAAGGCTGCACAGCCTGTCACACCTCCCCGAACCACTGTTTCTTGACAGTGCTCATTTCTTAATGTTAGCATCTTTGACTGTCTCGGGAAGCTAAGAATTTTCAAGACTAGCAGTTCCTGGATCCTTTTGTTTAACAGTTTTTCCTCTCTTCTCACATAAGCTGCAAGAAGAAGTCACCTTCAACACTTCACTTGGACGTGTCCATAGCTAGATCATTAGATTTATTAGGTCCATATCCTGCCTTCCATGTAACTGCAGATGACAATGTCACTAAGCTAGAATAGTGCCACCTAACAAGGATGCCCTGCCTCCATGCTGTGGTTGGGATGTGTCCCCCAAATTTCACGTGTTGGAAACTTAATCCCCAATGGAGCGGTACTGAGAGGTGGGGCCTTTAAGAGGCGACTGGATCATGAGAGCTCTGCCTTCATGAATGGCCCAACCAATCCTGGATTGATGGGTTATTATGGGAAGGGAACTGGTGGCTTTGTAAGAAGCGGAAGAGAGACCCGAGCAGGCACGTTAGCACACCCCCCCCCCCCCCGCTGTGCTATCTGCGCTTCTTCAGGACTCTGCAGAGAGTCCCCGCCAGCAAGAAGGCCCTCCCAGATGCAGCCCTCCGACCTTGGACTTCTCAGCCTCCACAACTACAGGAAATAAATTCATTTTCTTTATAAATTGCCCAATTCCAGGCATTCTGTTATAAGCAACAGAAAACAGACTAATAACACACTCCAGTTTCCAATAACACATTCCTCTTTCCTTTTGAGTCCCCACCGGCAGCGACCTCAAAGTCCAGATTTCTACCAACGGTCTCTTTGAGGCAATTGAGAATCTCTCTTGCAAGCTCCTCGGAATACTCCCAGCCTTGGCCCAACTCCTGGTTTTTAGGTAAATGTCATGGCACTGTTCCTCCCTTGATACCAAAATCTGTATTCATTATTTCAGTTTGTAGCACATTCCCTAAAGCCTCAGTGGTGGGAGACGACCGTGCGTGCGTTTCTGTGGGTCAGGAACCGGGTGCAGCTTGGCTGGGCCCGTCACAGGCTGCAGTGATGGTGCCCACCGGGGAATGGTCCACTTCCAAGCTCACTCGCAGGTGTTGGCAGGATTCGGTTCCTCGCAGGCTGTTGGACTGCAGGCCTCAGTTCCTCCCTGGGTGTTGGCCAGAAGCCACCCTCAGTTCCTGGCCACATGAGCCTCTCCATAGGGTGGCTTTCAACATGTCAGTTCGCTTCAAGCATGCAAGAGAGAAGAGCCAGAGAGAGAAATCTCAGTCTTTTATACACTAATATCAGAAGTGACATCCCATCGCTTTGGCCCTGTTCCATTCATTAGAAGCGAGTCACCGGGTGCAGCCCACACTCGAGGGGAGGGTGTCACCCAGGGTGTGAACATCAGGGGCAGGAAGCGCTGGGAGCCATCTCAGCTGCTGCCACAGTGAGTGTCAGGGATGGGGCAACTGGCAAGGCCACAAGGGTCTGATGACGCCGTGCAGACTGCCACGGGTGGCGCACAACCACTGAAACAGTTCGCTGTTGAAGGGGAGGAGTGTTAGAAACCTCACCCGGCCAGCCAGAGCAGAGGAAGGACTGGACACAGAGCACTGGGCAGGGAGAGCCCCTGCAAGGCAACTGCTCCCCGGGACGGCCTCTGAACAGAATGTTCATCGTGTCACGAGGTCAGGGCCAGCACGCAGGGTCACTCACAAAGCTCCCTGTGTGCCTTTGGCCAGGCTGTTTCTCCTGCTTGAACTACCTTTTAAGTGTGGTTCTCAGCTTTTGCCCCTTCCTTTAGAGACCAGGGCAGGGGCCCACATTCCTAGGATGCTCGCTGGTGTCCCAGGCATGTTTATTCCCCAGCATACCTGTAGGGCAGGTATTGTTTGCGGAAGTGTGACAAGAGGTCACATGAGAGGAAACAGGAGTTCCAATGCCTTTGTGACGTCATCCTGATGACCTCACCCTGTCCATGGACCTGACCTCCAGTCTTACAGCCCAGGAACTGGACCTTCTTCCCCCAAACAATTGATGTTTTAATAGAGGCTGAAACTAACTATAATGTCCCAACGATGCTGTGCAGCCCAAATGCCAGTTGATTGTTGTGGAATCAACTTATCTGTTGGCATTTGAGGGAAACCCAGTAAATAAATATACTCATTCCCCTCTCAAGTGCAGAATCAATTGGCAGATGCAGGAGAAAGACAGATGAGGATCAGCATGTCAGCTTTATTACTGAGGAGCTGGTTAGAGAGCTACCTGCATATGCTCTGCAGCCAGAGAGGGGGAGGGGGAGGGGGAAGGGGAGGAGGAGGGAGGGGGAACTGAGTATGGTCAGCTTTTCTTCTCCAACTCAGCAGGCAGCCATGTCATACCTCCACAGAGTGAAGGAGACAAATTCTTCTGTGGTCCTCGTACCAGCAGCATCCATATCACCTGGGAACTTTTAGAAATGCAAATTATAGCTCCAATCAAACTCTGGGGGTGGGGCCCAGCGATCTGTTTTAATAAGCCCTGCAGGGGGCTCTAATGCAGGCTCAATACTGAGAACCACTGGCCTAGGAGAAGTTGTTCCCCATGGAAATGCAAGACCCAGGAAGAAGTATTGCCCTGGAATATTCTGCTACTCACGCCCACCCATTTCCTCCATCCCTGGGAAACAAATCACGGAAAGAGAAGTTTCACAGTTTCCACATTTGGGTTTTAGCTTACAGCTGCTCCAAGGAATATCGGTGGAGGCTGCTTAAAAGGGGAAAATGCCACGGGTTTGGTGTTTTCTAGGCTTGCCTCTTGCAGTCCTTGGAGGGGGTGGCACTTGATAGTTTCTGAAGACTCTAGAATGACCAATGACAAGAAATCAAAAATGGAAGTGCATGACACCTCCCTGCTGAAAACTCTCCATTGCACTGAGATTTCAACATAAACCCCTTGCCAAGGCCTGCACCTTTCCAACCACATCTCACACATTCTCCCACACCTCCGGTCACTCTGGCCTCCCTTCTGTCCCTCTAATATGCCAAGCTCACTCCTGCCTCAGGACCTTTGCACTTGCTGCCCTGCTGCTCCAAGGATTCTTCCCTTAGACTTTGGCATGCTTGGTTCCTTCTTATGCTTTAAATCTAAACCCAAATATCGCCTCTGACCACCCATTCCAAGTGCCCTCCACTGCAGTGGTCATCTCGTTACCATTACCCGGGCTTATTTTCTTCCGAGCACTTGACACTATAGAAAAATGACCTGGTGTGTTTATTTGTTGGCTTTTGTTATTGTCTGTCTCCCCCTCACTGCAATGTGAGAGGGTGATGAGAGGTGAGGGGCCTAGCATGCCTAGCACCAGAACAGTTGCTGCTATATTGCTGGCATGCGATTTGCATAAATATTTGTTGAATGAATGAATGAATTCATGAATGGCTCCATGAACACGGAAAAGGGCCCTAAGAGAGAAGGATCGGAGTGGAGGATTCAGCCATCAAGATGGCGTAGGTCTGCCTTCCTCCTCCCAAGCACAGGGGCGCCCAAGGCCAGCTGAGTGGGCCTGGCATGCTGGCACTGCACCACGTTTCCCGCCTGCTTTTCCTCTCACCTATTATCTCAGGTCCAGGCTCCCCCACTTCTCCTCCTCCTTCCCTCCCTCTTCCTCCACTGTCATTACATTGCAGTCATTAAAGCCAGCGGATTCACACCCTCCTGTTGTCTTTTTCATAAAGGACTGTTAATGGAGTTAGTTTTCAGCAGGGGCACCGCAAACTGTTGTCAAAACTCTACCGTGGCCACCCACATCCACATAATTAATCACTCGGGAAAGCAGAAAGTCGTAGCATGAGGGCCGGGGCCTGGCTGTGCGGGGGACGTCTTCCCGGAGTGGAGGGTGGCACGTCACACATCTGCTGCCCATCGAGAGCCCACGGTTTGGCTTGGAACTAAGACAGCCCGACTGGAACCACTACGGAGTAGTGCGAGCCAGGAACTAATTAGAACCGGAGGGTGGGAGCGGGGCCCTCCACCTTCAAGAGGTTGGTAACAAAGGAAAGGAAATTAAATGGGGAGGGTAGAGGCTGGAGGTGGAAACAAGACTAATGACAGTCTCTTCTAGAATCATAAGAAGCTGGCATATATTGAGTAATATATTAGTTCTCTATTGCTGTGTAACAAATTTCCACAGACTTAGTGGCTTAAAACAACACAGTTTAAACATTGAAACATACATTTGTACAGTTTCCATGGATCAGGAGTCCCTTAAATAGCTTGGCTGGGTCCATTGCTCGAGGTCTCACAAGGCTGCAATCAAGGTATCAGCCAGGGCCAAGATCTCATCTGGCGGCTCGACTGGGGAAGGAAGGGTCCACTTCCCCACTTGTATGGCTGCTGCAGCTTTCAGTTCCTTGTGGTTGTAGGACTGAGAGCTGCTGAGTTTTGCTGGCTGTTGGTCTGAGGCCTCCCTCGGCTGCTAGAGATTTCCTGCAGTTCCTCGCTGCATGGGCTTCTCAAACTTGGCTGCAGGCTAGCAGGTGGCAAGGAGAACCTCTAGAGCAAATTGACTAGCAAGATGGAGTATTACTATACATCATTACATAATCACAGAAGTGATGTCCATCTCCTTTAGTCAGAAGAAAGTCACAGGTCCTGCCCACATTTAACGGCAAGGAATTATACAAGGGTGTGAACACGAGGAAGGGTGTGGGATTATGGAACAGCCAGCCTAAAGGGTGTCTTCCACCATCCCTGTTAAGTGTTCAGGACTGTGCCAAATACTTTTGCATGTGTCACCTCATGTAATCACCAAAACAACCTGTAAAGGCAGGCATTATTCCCATTGCACAGATGAGCAACCTGAGGCTCCAAGGCATGAGCCCTTGCCCTATGTCCTGCCGATGTACGATGGGAACCACCACATCACGGCTCCCAGTGAGCTTGTGCAAGCTCACACTGAAGGGTCATCCTCCTTACAGTAAGGGGCGGGGGCCCGAGGGAGGCAGGGCAGAGGGACGCTGGTGCAGGAGGGGTCTGGCTCCCCATGAGGCACAAGCCCAGGAGGAAAGGATGGGTGTGGGTCATATTTTGAGAACGAAGGAAACGGAGAGCACTTGTGCCTGATGATCTCTGTTTTCTCAATGAAGCAGAAACTGAGGGCGTCTCCCGAGAGGGTGGAGGTTGGGCTGGGAGGGGGAGCAGAGCCAAGCTGGGGTCGCAGCTGTGGGGCGCCGCACGGAGCGTGGAGTTCTCCCAGCTCGCGTGCAAGCTTGTCAAGTGGAATGGGACTGCTTCCTTCATGTAGACGGCAGGATAGGCTTGGTGGGTGGTCCCCACTCCGTCCCTGGCACTTTGTGTTTTCACTTTCATCACCATGCCTTGCAGTGCTGTGACTCATGCCCATGTCCCTCTCGCTCAGCACAGGAAAGTTCTCACAGGGCAGGAACTTAACAGCCTGTCCCCAGCACAGCGTCTGGGAGATGGGAATCCTCCGTGTGCTGCCTGTCTGATTCCAGACCCTGAAATCGACATCCCTCCACCGTATTACCCCCATCCCCAAAGCCGGCTCTACAAGACTGCTCAAAGATAGGGATTTTTGCTTTTGTTTTGAAAGTAAAAGTTCAAATAGTGCCATAGAGTAGAAAGTGTAAGTCCTCCGACACAGACTAGGGTTTCGAGGTGGAGTGAGGGAGGTCTGTTTCATGCATAACCTGGTTACACACACAAAAAAAGCAGTTTTGCATTTTGGCCCAATCTTTCTGATGTCAAGAAGTCAAAAGAACCATTTCGAAATATTCCATTTCAATCTTTATTGATTGGTATGAAACGTTGCCCACGGTATATCGTTGCCTGAAAACTCCAGTCACTGCACAGACACTTACAGCACAAGCCCATTTGTGTCAAATTATTGTCAAGTAGCAGAAAACCTGACTCAAACCATCTTAGGCAAAAAATGAAACGTGTGGGCTCGGCTTCAAAGAAAAGTCCAGGAGAAAGCTCTGCTGCCGAAGCGACTCTGCCAATATGGCCTCGTTCTCAGGCTCCGTGAGGTGGCAAGTGGCTGTCACAGCCCCCCCTGGGCTGCATTCGCCCCCAGGACTGCTGACAAAAGTCCTGAGATCCACCTGATTGGGCTAACGTGGGTCACATGCCTGTCGCTGACCCAGTCACTGGGGCCAGGGGAATTCTGTCTTCTGATCAAGCCTTGGCCACTGAAGGGAGTCCCAAAAGGGAGTCAGGGTGCTGTGACCAAGAGCAAGAAGAATGGATGCCAGGGCACCAAAAGTTTAATTATATCCACTGAGAAATGACGGGGTGGATGCTCTAAGCCTGGCAGCTGCAGGCAGAGGCCCTCCCTGTTGGTTTTCGTGTGTGTATGTGTGTGTGTGTATAATCAGCCCCTGGCCTCATCCTGACTAGTAAACACCACTGGGCTTCCACCCTGGCTCACTGAGGGTAGCTAAGTCTTGCTGGAAACTCTGGGTCCCTAAAGGCCCATCTAAACTCCAGCTTTCTAACCTGCTGGCTTGGTCCCACCCTGGTGATGAGCTCCTAGTCTTGTCACATTTCTCTTTTGTGGCCTGAAAGGGGAGCCTAAACTGAACTCCAGGCTTTCTGGCCCTGGCAGTCTGCCCAGTCCTGCCACCCTCCTCCTTAGAACTTGGCCTCGTGTTCCTGCACCTGACCCTGAGTAGGGTCCTCCAACCTGGATCACCACCTGGGGCCAGGATGCCCCTACCTCCACGACTGCTGGCTTCCATACACTCTGGGGACTACCACCCGCCTACCCAAGCCATGCCCTTAGGACAACGTTGCCACTTCTCTCAAAACCACCCCTCCCCTGCTCTCCCCTCCCCCTTCCCCTCCCCCCTCTATTCCCTTCCCTTCCCCTCCTCTTCCCAAGATCAGTTTCCCCACCCCAATCTCTCCACCAAGCCATGCCAAAGCAGCAGCCACGGGCTGCTCTTACGCCGCACATGAGACCAGGACAGGCAATACCGTTGAATGGCATTTTATTTTCTCGAAGTGGATCCATCAGCTTTGGCTGACTAAGATTTCCCTCTACGCTGGTTCCTACCCGATGCCTGGGACTTCTTCCTGGCGTTATTACGTTGCCTGCGGTAGGCTTCAAGTTCCTCCTGATACTTAGCTCTCAGAAGAGCTGCTCTTTGTTCATATGGCTGCTTTTCCACATCTGTTGTTAGGGACCACATCTTCCCCGTGGCCTTTGCCACCTGTACCACTGACCAGTTTGGGTTCTCCCTCTTCAGCTGGGCATAGTGGTCTTGGCAGAAGAGTAGGAAGGACGACGGGGGCCGTCTGGGTGCCTGGGGGTCCCGCTTTCTCCGTTTCTTCCTCTTGCCCACGTAATTCATCATCTCCTCCTGGTATCGGGCTTTGTCAAGCTTGGCCAGGGCTTCGTACTTGGCCTTCTCATGCTTTGAGATGGACCTCCATTTTTCCGAGCACTTTCTAGAGAACTCTTTAAAGCCAAGGTAGGTGTTTGGCTGCTGCTCCTTGAATTTGTTTCTGTAATTCAGCAAAAAGTGGATGTAAGAAGAGACATTCACCTTGGGCCTTAGCTGGACTTCTTTTCCCATGTTCATAAGATCATTTTTTTTCTGGATTCAGTAACTTGGACAGCAGAGACTTCTGTGCCCACACTACAGGAGCAATCTAGAAGGTGCTGTACTTGCGGTGAATTTTTCTGTCTGCAAGAGCTGCAGTCAGGGGTGGGCCTTTTCAGTGGTGGTGGCATTGTCAGGTCAGAGGAAGGGACTTGTGACATCATTTATAAGCTGACCAATCCCTGCCAATGCCTGAGGACATTTGTACACAGGGACTCTCATTGGTTGATTACATTACTTGCGGGTCCATTTTTGCCTCTTACAAAAGATGATGATCTACCCAAAGAAGGCTACGAAGCACCTATTTCCCCCAGAAATATTTCTTCTTGGCTTCCTTGGAGGCAGTGGGGTTTGGCTCAGCTTTGGGGGCTTAAAATCACTCAGGTGTAGTAACAGGCTACAGGGTCTGCCTCCCTCACTATACGATTGTCAGGATGTCACGTCATCCCTTCCAGAGACAGCCCGGAAATAATGAACACGAGGAGGTGGATGGCTCCAGAGCTGTCAGGATAAAATGTGAAGCTTTCTGTTTGCCTTGAACAGTGGCAGCTCATGCTGTACAAAGGGTTTAGTAGTAACTCTAAAAGTAATCAGGTGTGACAGCTGTGACTCGGTTCCTGTCAGGACAAAGTTGTCTAATTTAAAACCTGAGCACTTGGGCTATGAGTCTGAACTCCTCATTTCTCTGAAGAAATCAGGGGAGAGAGGGAGGAGCACCTTGAGACGTTAGTAATTACACTTGAGTCCCTACAAATGGGGTGGCGCTCTTAGCCCATGAGGAGCCCTGCCCACGCTCATGCGGGGGGTCCCCATTTCTTAGTGGTAGAGCACAAAGCTATAACCGCTGCGATCAAACTAGTTGCTTTCTGGATTTTTGCAGAAATTACAAAGATTCTAGTCTTCCAGTTGGAAGGAAAAGATAAGGAAGTATCGTTTTTGGCCTTTGGACACTGCAAGGTGCTTGTATGGCGCTGGATTTAATGTAACTCATAGACTGATGATAGTGCCAGATTCATAGGACTAGAAAACCCAGTTTCATTAACATAGAAAGTACCGTGTTCAAGGTCAAACAGCTGCTAACACGTGTGACTGTGGATTTTGACCACTGGTGGCAGGACCCAAGCCTGTGCTCTGTCCTGCCTGCATAGAACTGTTTCCTGGGGGACTGAGGAAACAGGTGTCAGACACTGATCCTGGCAAGGAAACTTGCTTAAGACCAGACTACATTTTACATTTTTACCAAGTCCATTCCCAGGGCTCCAAAACTGACATCAATGTTTATCTTCTGAAAAACACAGGTATTAGTAGAAACTGATTAGAATCCCCAGCCCTGAATTTTGGCCCCAGCCCTGCTGCGAGGGGCCATCCCTGTGAGCCCATGATTTCTCATAAATTGAGTGTTTGGGATTGGCCAGAGAATCCCCTCCAGGTGATAAGTATAGTTTGGGGGCTGAATTGGGGGGCCTGTAAGATATCAGATGCCAGCTGAGGAAGACTGGGCTTGGTGGGTGGGGAGTGTGGCCAATGGGAAGAGATCACTCTGAGGACATTTCTCAGCCTAGGCAGCTTTCTTCACTCTGGTTCTTTCTCCCAAGGGGCTAGAGGTTGGCTTACGTGTGTGTTGGACTTGAGCTGGGCTGCAGAGATGGATGGGGCACACAGCTCCTTCCTGAGATCAAAAGATGAGACATGAAGAACTTTCAAGTCTACACATACTGCTCAGACTCTGCTCAGGCTCACACATGCAGCTTGCCTGTGCCTCTGCTCATCACCTCACACCCCTGTCGTGATGATAAGACCCAGGAAGATTAACCCCATGATAACCCTCTGGAGGTTAGCAGACACAGGAAGAGAAGGCAGTACAAGGTAAAAGTTATGGCAGACTTTTGGTGTTTGGGCCAAACTTCCGATCTGGAGGGAGGAAGCATGGGGGACTCCTTGTTGAGGGGAGCTTAGGGAAGGTGAATGAACCTGGCTTTCTAAATCAACACCATGTGTGCTGGGTATCTAAGGTCTGCCCTTTTAGAGCCTCTTTCCAACCTTCTGCAAGGTTGGAAGGTTGGAAGGTTGCAAGGTTTCTCCTTTCAACTTTCTCTGGCCTGGGAAGCCGACCCATGTGGGCTACATCAGTGGGCCCCATGCCCTCTGGCTTTGATGTGAGTTTGGCCACTGGGGACCCCCAACAGGAGATCAGAGATGGAGGAAGGTGAAATCGAGGCATTTATTCTCCTGGCTTCTTCCCCGCATGCGGGGTCACCTGGAGCTGGTTGTCCTTTCTGGACTAAGGACTCTGCTGCAACTAAGGTGTCCTCTTCAAATGACCTTTCTTCTAGGTTCAGGAATTGCCCCATCCCTTGTACCCTCCTGCCTAGGGTGGTAACAGCTGTGCTATTACTTGCCTCTGAGTTCTCTGCTACCTTCCTATATTCTGTGACTTTCCCTACACTCTACCCTCACCTTGGTAGATAGCCTCTTTATCAAATGCTCCTTGAGTTATTCTAATTTGGATGGCCATCTCTTTCCTGCTGGGACCCCAACCGAAGTACCATGTTTCTGGCCTTCTACCATTAGGCATTGGTTCAAAGTAGAGGGTCATGCACTTCTGGAGACCCAAGTGCCTGGCAGTCACACCGCCTAGAGTGTTCTGCAGAGGCACAGGTGCCTACAAGGGCAGTGGCACAACAGGACCACATGCCTAGAAAAAGGCGTCTAATATTCCCTGCGTTATGAGATGACTTCTAGGCAGGGCCGTTGGACTAGATGGCCAAATGGTAAATATGTTAGGCTTTGTGAGCCACAGAGTTTCTGTTGCAAGTGCCCTATTCTGCCGTTGTAGCTCCCAAAGTACCCATAGACAATACAAAACGAATGAGTGTGGCCATGTTCCAATAAAACTTTATTTACAAAAACAGGCTATATATAGGCTGAGGGTCCTAAATCTGCCGAGCCCTGGTCTAGAGATGTGAGTTCAGTGTTTTCAAACGTTTTGATTGAAGCCTACAACAAGAAATGCATTTTATATCACAGCTCATTTACACGTGTATGTAATATTTATATAATGCTTAATGTGTGCCAGCTCTGTTCTAAGCACTTTATGTATATCAACTCATTCCATCCTCATAACAGCCCCATGGGGGTTGCTATTTGTATCTCCATTGTCAGGATAAAAGTAGCAAAGCACAGAAAGGTTGCAGAAATAAAAAGTTTTACAAAACCATACTTACTACGTGTGTGACGTATTCTTATTTTCTATTATAGTCGCCTCTATTTCGTTATTTAAAGTGCAAACCCCAAACTGATCCCAAGACCCACTGATGGGTCACAGTCCATGTACTGATTTGAAAAGCACCATCCAGGCAAGCTGGGAGGGAGCTCCCACCTCAGAGACTGTGGAAGCCTCTTTCCTTGGGAGCAATGACAAGAAGTGGGAAGAGGATGGCCTTTGGAGCCAGACAGATATGAGTTCAGATTCTAGCTTTGCCATTTACTAGCTGGGTAACTTTGGGCGAGTCTAGCTCATTACAACCATATCTGCAAAAAGTAGGGAGGTGATGATAAAGCCATTAGGATTAACCAAATTGAAATTGTGGGAATAAAAACAACTGGTACTTCCCCTCCCCTATAGTGTGTGCTGGGCTTGGTGACTCACTTCTAATGAATAGAACATGGAAAAGGTCAAGCAGTATCTTTACAGTAGAGAAAGCTGTCAGACACCACCTCAGCCAGGTGGTCAAAGTGAACATCACCAGTAACGGGTCATGTTGATATCACACACAGCCTTTCTATGATGCCATAATAAGAGCATCTCGCCCCCATGGTGCTCTTCCCCCAAATCCACATCCCAGGTCTAATAATGAGAAGACATTATACACACTCAAATTAAGGGACGTTCTATTATACAAAATACCTGATTAGTACTCATCAACAATGTCAAAGTCTTGAGAAACTAAGGACAGCCTAAGAAACTGACCCAGATTGGAAGACGCTAAGTAGACTTAACAACTAAATGCCATGAGAGATGGTGGATTGGATCCTGGGACAGGGAAAAAACAGGTGCACTAGTGGAAAACTGGGGGGGGGTCTGAATAAAGTTATTCATTGAGTTAGTCATAATGTACCAGTGCTGATTTCTTAGTTTCAATGCACCTACCATGGTTCTGTAAGATGCAAACACTAGGGAGGTGGGGTAAGGGATCCACAGGACATTTCTGTACTATCTTTGCAACTCTTATTCTTATTTCAAAATAAAAAGATTTTTAGAAATCACCCCAGCTGACAGCAATGAGACACCTTGCTCTGTTACCTCCAGGAATCGTAGGACCTGATATTACCCTCAATCACAGCAGCCAATAAATGCTCTTGGCATATTTCTGTCAAAGTACTTCTCAAGTTTCAGGGCGTTCTGGAATCACCTGAGCTTTTAAAAACCCCAGTGCTCACGAAAGCAATGATAACAAGAGCCAAAGTACCTGGCACAGGCATATATCTGATAAATGCTTTGAAGCTTCCTCTATCCTCCTCCAGCCCCTTCTGTGGGGTAGGACTCTTGGTTGCATTTCCATTCTGAGCAAGGTAGGATATCAGCTCTCCAAAGATGTCCACATTCTAAGCCCCAAAACTTGTGAATCTGTTACCTCCCCTGGCAAAAGAGACTTTGTAGATGAGATCACGTTAAGGATTTAGAGGCAGGGATATTATTCTGGCTTACCTAGGTGGACGTGATATAATTGCACGGTCGTTATAAGAGGAAGGCAGGAATGGCAGAGTCAGTGGAGACGTGATGACAGAAGCCGAGGACCAGAGGCAGAGAGAGCTGTGAAGATGCCACACTGCTGGCTTTGAAGATGGAGGAAGAGGCCACCAGCCAAGAAATGCAGGCGGCCACAGCAGCTGGAAAAGGCACACAAAGGGATTTCCCCTAGAGCTACCAGAGGGGGGTACAGCCAGGCCAACACCTTGATCTTAGCCCACTAAAATCCATTTTGGACTTCTGACCTCCAGAATTGTAAGATAATACACACTTGTGTAGTTTAAAGCCACTAAATTTGCAGTTGTCTGTTAAAGCAGCAATAGGAAACTAACACAGTATCTTTCCCATCCAGCTGGTGGTCTGTAACTTTTCCCGTGCCATCCTTAACCCCTACTTGCATTAATAAAGATGGAAAATTTAAGGATGGAAAATGTACGCTGTCACATATGAGATTAGTTGAGGGGAGAGAGCATGATCTATTCAATTCTACACACTCTTCTTCACTCACTTGCTGACTCATTAAGTCACTAATTCACTCATTTGCTTGCCAATTCACTCTCACGTTCTTATATTCTTTCAGTCCATTCACTCGCTCATGGACTCACACCTATCTCAATAAATAGCTTTTGACCCGCTAGAGCGGCGGAGCTGCTGCTTTGATGGCCAGGGAGGAGCAGTGCTTGTAGGACGGAACGCCTTGGGCAGGAGGCTGGCAGTCAGAAAAGCATCTGACCCTCCCTGCATCTCTACGGATAAAAAGCCAGACTGGTGGGAAGGCTGGGCCTTAAGCAGCCAGATTTAGAGGCTCTTTGGCACTGACCTCATGCCAGGAACTGTTATCCAATCAGATGTGACCATGATATTTTAATCAAAATGATGATCATACTTTAGGTACCTCGTCCCTAGAAGCCTAGAGAGAGGGAGTAACTCATCCAAGGCCACACAGCCATGAGTGGCAGAGCCAGGCTCCAAACTCAGCTTTGTGTGACTTCTTGGCTCAAGTGTTTGGCCTCTGCTTATAGTCTAGGAGCTCCAATGGCTAGGGCCAGGGAGAGGCTGAAACCAGAAGGAACACGCAGGGGAGGGAAGGTAGAACAAGAGTAAGTTGTCTAAATCTCTACATGTAAAGGCATGCGGGTGAGTCTTTGCTAACCTGGGTCGACTCTCATCACAGACGGAGCTCAGCAGTTTATCTCCACGTCATGGGATGTTCTGAGTCCAGCAGGTCAGCCGACCTGCCGGGTGACCCACAGAACTCCTCCAGCATCTGCAGGAGCTGGGTCTGGCTCATAGGGCAGAGGCTGGCCGAAGCTGGTGGCCTGGGAGATAGGGGACAGGAAACTGTACAGATTATTAAGCACAAGAATGGGATCAGCATGGCAGGAGGCAGGCATGCCTGGCTACCCCTGGCAGGATGTGGGGCAGATCTAGAATAAGCTGGACTTTGGGGGGACACCCTGCTCACAGTGATCTGGGGGTACCCCTCACAGGCCTTAATAAACCTCCTCCCTTACACTGCAGAGTGGAGGGTGGCCCTGTCCCTTCGGTCCGACCCCCAGCTCTTCCACCCTCAGTAGACACCTTGGCTCTGCCTGCCTGGGACCTTCCTTTCTTTTGAGCATATTCCTTCTTCCGGAGAACTGTCCCTAAATCAGTTATGGGGTTCTAGTGGGGATATGTCCTTAGCCCCAAGGAAGGGTGATGTGTCCCAAATGAACTAATCAGAGGCCTCTCATGGACTTTTTCTAATTAGGACCAAGGCAAGAGCTCTTTACCTTCTCTCTGTTGCTGAAGGTCAAAGGGTGAGTCAGGGAGTTACAAGGGTGGTCATGGTTCTAGCCTTGGAAACCATGAGCCACCATTTGCAATAGAGAGAATGATGCCAGCAGACAGAGGACAACAGAGGGGACACAGAGAGGGGCCTTGTAGCATCTGGTCACCCCTGCAGGCAGCTATATCCCTTGATCTTCCTATGGTTTGTCTACAGCAGCCCAGAATTTCTTCTCTAGGCTGATGTGATCTGGATTCCTGCCACCTGACACCAAAAGTATAAGACATGATTAACCTAGTTGGGGTGGGGACAACCGCTATGGGAAGACAGGAGCTCACCTCACCCCCATTTTTGGATGCTTTCTGGGTACTTGCTCTGTGCCAGGCGCTGTGCTGGGAGCTTTTGCAGGCATCATCTCACTTAAACCTCTTAACAACTCTATGAAGTGGGTGCTATTGTTGTCCTTATTAAATAGATGGGGAAACTGAGGCCCAAAGCAGGTCAGTTACTTGTCTAACCAAGTAGCTAGTAAATTTAAGGCTGAGATTTGAATGCAGGCAGTCTCCTTCTAGGGCCCATGTGCTGACTACCCCAATTTCCTTTCTACTCAGTACATGTTAGTCTCTTTGCCCATGAGTCTGACTTGGTACACAGAGACACAGTAACATAGCATGATCAAGACATGTAGCTGCCATGTCTTAAGGTCTTAGTGGGACGTTGTGAGCATCACTGCATCACCTTTAATCCTCACAATCACACTATGAGATATAAACTGGGGAAAGAGGGGCTCAGAGAGGTGAAGCCACCTCCCCAAGGTCACATGGCTGTAGATGGTGGAGACAGGATAAGAATCCAGCTCTGTGGGACTCTAGGACACCTTCCTCACTGGCCTGAGTGTGCATGAGATGTTTAGCCCACCCATTCTCCAGCCGCCGGGAGACTCACTCGTCCAATCAGGCGTCAGAGCTGCTGGTCTCAGGCAGGGCTGCCTAGCTGCCTCCTCAGGGGTCAGGGAGCATCGATGCTCAAACTCAGAATGGTGGCCAAGTGGCAGGCACACGCTCCCAGGTGGCTCCTCAATAAACCATCTGTAGCATTTCCTCTGGGTGAGAAGTAGCATCCAAATGCAAGCCCTGGGGGCCTCTGTGAGGCAAACATTGCCACCCTTCAAGGCAGGGGGCAGGTCCTTCTCCGGGTCATGTCTGCCAGGGGCAGGCGGAGGCTGAGGGAACAGCAGCTGGTGTAGGCCAGCTAGGATCACCAGGGGGAAAGAGGGAAGGTGATGGCCAAGTGTACTGGCCATTCTGGGTGCCACATGGTGCTCTGTCCATCCACCCATGCCCTGTTCTGTCACCAGCATGGATGTAGGTAGCCTCACTTCCCTGGGGAAACCTAGGCCAGGTTGCTCTGGGGTCTGCTTAATCCCTGTGTCCTCTGGAGGTAGGGTTCAAGGCACTGAAAAGATCCCACCCCTCCTCTCAGATCTAAGCAAGGGAGGGAAATAGCTCACATTTGTGAGGCACCTACTATTTGTCAGGCACAGTCTTGGACACATTATATACACAAGCATGTCCGTACAGAGGAATCCCATTGCACAGATGAGGAAACTGAGGCTTAGAGAAGTTATGCCACATGCTCATGTTCACACAACTAGTGTGAGCTTGTGTGCTAGCGAGCTTGGATTCAAATACAGCAGTGGTCTCCAACATTTTTAGCACCAGGGACCAGTTTCATGGAAGACAACTATTCCATGGACAACAGGGGGTGTGGGGGGTGGTTTCCGGATGACTCAAGCACATTACATTTATTGTGCAGTCAATCCTCTCAGCTAATGATAATCTGTATTTGCAGCCACTCCCCAGCACTAGGATCACCGCCTCAGCTCCACCTCAGATCATCAGGCGTTAGATTCTCGTAAGGAGCGTGCAACCTAGATCCTCTGCACGTGCAGTTTACAGTAGGGTTTGCGCTGCTGTGTGAATCTAATGCTGCCACTGATCTGACAGGAGGCAGAGCTTGTGCAGTGACGCGAGTGATGGGGAGCGGCTGTAAATACGGATGAAGCTTCCCTCACTCCCCAATGCTCATCTCCTGCTGTGCAGCCCTGCTCATAACAGGCCACGGCCAGTACCAGTCCATGGCCTCGGGGCTGGGGACTGCAGAAATACAGGACTGTCTGGTTCCAGGGGCCTGGCCCTTAGCCTTTAACCTTACACTTGTTATCTCTGTGGGGAACAAAACAGGAAATGAACCAGACAGGTGGCATCTCCACTTAGGGAGATACCTGAGCCAGGAAGGGGAAGAGGGTTAAGTAGAGTGTGAATGCGCTGTGGTACCAGGCTCTTAAGGCCTGTGCCCTGTCCCTGGGCCATGTCTGATGGGGCGGGCTTTAAGGTCCTAGGGTGTGGAGGCTGCCAGGCCTTGAGGCTGTTGCCCTGGATCTCCAACCTATAGTAATAGAAACCTGGGCTGGGGACGGGGGACAGCCAGCTAAGGGCCCAGGAGGTGGTCAGACTGGACGGAAACCAGAAGGGCAGGAATGTAGAACCTTGGAAGGTGCAGGACATCGTATGAGAGAGATGGGGGTAGGGCAGGCAGGCAGCAACAGAAGAGGAAGAAATGATGCTGCGACACCCTTTCCCAAATCTCCCCTGGGACAGCCAAGCCTGTGTGGCCTTCTCTTCATCACAGTGAGATCTCAGCCCTTCTCTCTGCCAACCTCACCCTCAAAGCAGGGACCACAGGGACCCACCTTCCTGAGAGAAGTACCATCAGCTGATTGGTCCAGCTTGGGTCACATGGCCACCTCGATCCAATCAGCTGTTGCCATGTGATTGCACATGGCTGCCGCTTTCAGGAGCCGCGGTTTCACGGAGGGAGGCTGGTCTTCAAAGGCTTCTCGAACTCAGAAAAGAGTAGCGCTGCCTACTTTAGACCTGGAGGCAGAAAAGGAGGGAGTTGAGCAACTCAGAAAAGTTGCAGGGACCCACCACAAGCCCCCTGCCCCAGAGTGTGGCACCTGGCGGCAGTTCCCATCTTCAGACCCAGCCCTGTTCCGTCACTTCGGCATCACGGGCACATCGTCTCCATGGAAGGCACGACACCCCGCCCCCATCAGCCCTGCCAGCTGAGCGGAGCACGGAAGGGGAGGAAACCAACACCTCGGGCCACACCCTGGACCTCCTCGATGTGCCACCGCCCAACGTGCAAGACCCAGGATATCGGTGGCGGAGCGCTCATCCCAGCGGAAACACAGCCGGGAGCCCTGCCCTCAGCACTCCCAGGCACACACACAGGTCCTCCAGAGAGCCAGGCATCTGGAGGAAAAACGTTTACCTGACATAGTTTGTGTGAGTTCCCTGGAGCTAACAATTAGCTGAGCAGGAAATAGCTCTGATAATTTGTTGGGTTTATTGAGTTGCTTCTGGGGAAGAAGGAACATTTGCCCACACTGATTATCAGGCCCCACTGTTGCTGCCTGGGGGATAGGTCAGCCGGAGAATAGTCCCTCAGGAAGGCACCAGCGGCTGATAAGTGAAGGGGACACAGCCAGGGTTAAGGGACCAGGGCTGGGGAAGCATGTCTTCCTGGCAGGAGTGGGCAGTGCCCTGGAAAACCCAGATGAAGCCAGCGTGGTAGTCGTTGTCCCCCGGCTCAACTGCGTGCTGCCTCTTCCTCCGCTTTTGCCCCCCGCACTGTGCCCTCTGCTTTCACCAGCATGGTCTCATTCAGCCAATCATCCCTTCTTCCGTGGAGTAAAACTTATTGAGCCGTTTCCTTGTGTCAGGCACTCTGCAAGGTACTGAGGAAAGAACAGTAAATAAGAAAGAAACAGCTCCTGTCTTCGAGGAGCTCACAGTTTAGTGGGTGAGGCAGCTGCCCGAGCAATGCATGGTGAGACAAGAAGACCTTGGTAGAGAAAGTGCAGGGAGCAGAGAGGGCATGCAGAGAAGCAGACCAGACTTGGCAGCAGAGGTTTCCTGAAACCAGAGCTGATACACCTGCAGGATGAGTAGGAAGTAACTGGGAAAAGAGTGGATATGCATCAAGATTGGCAGGGAGAATTTGGCAAGGAGGTGAGTTCTTGATTGTTGGAAATATTCCAAACAAATCATTTTGAAAACTGCCCATTTGTCGAGAGTGCTGTGGTTGGGATTCATACATAGCTAGGATTTACACCTTGAAGACCTCTGAAGTTCTTCTCAAATCTAAGATTAGTTTGTTCCCACTCTCCTGAGAGCAGTGGGAATATAATTAGATACCCCACTATTGGAAGCAAGCGACTGCTGTTTATTCATTTATTTATTCACTCATAAAGCATATATAATAAATGCATTCTTAACCCATCCCGACCAAAGCAGCTCCCTGATTACCTGGCACTCCTATGGCCTCAGTAGACCTTCCTGACTGGTGCCCATGGCACCCTGAGCACCTGCCGCCACCTGGCCGCCTGCCATCCCCATCCCCAGCCTCAGTGCCTGTGCACCCCTGCTCCCAGCAGCTGAGTCTTGCACTCTCTGAGATTCAGTTGGCTTTGTTGTCAACTCTCTCAGTGCCAGTCATACTTGTTATTGTAATTATGTGATTTAAATTAAACATCACATAAACTGATGAAATATGAGTGTGATAGGAAATACAGTTGCATCTATGGAAACTAAATTGAATGCTTTGGAATGAGTCCATGAAGGAGAGTCTCTAAAAAGAATTGCTTGCTAAATATTAGGTGTGAGTGAGCGAGACACCTGCACCCCACTGGGTAAGTGACGTGGGGATGGGGGCATGGGATGGAGCACCCTAGTGCCTAGCACAATGCCTGGCACATAATAGGTGCTCGATAAATACTTGTTGGCTGGATGAACGGTAGCAAAATTGGAAATGGTGAATGATGCATTACAGCTATGGTTTATATAAGACAGGCAATGTGAGAAACAAACCCATGGTCAAAGGAAAGGCCTTGGTCCTGCATTAAACTGATTGACAAATAAATGTGCATTTAAGTATTTTACATTATAATCCAATGTTTAAGCTGTGTAGATGTCCTTTTACAATTCCCTACTTAGAAATTAAATTTTAATTTACCAGCCAACTACATAATCTATGAAGCTTCTGTGATAAGGGTCAGCAAACTTTTTTCTGTAAAGAGACAGAAAATAAATATTTTTGGCTTTGCAAACTATAGGCTCTGGCATGACTCCTCAACTCTGCTGTTGTAGCTTGGAAGCAGCCGGAGACAATGTGTAAGTGAATGAATGGGCATAGTTGTGATCTGGTAAAACTTTATTTACAAAAACAGGCAGCAAGCCATAGTTTACCAGCCCCTGTTCTATGGGATTGATTAGCTCTGTGTGCCAGGCACTGTGCTGTGTTGCCGGAGATTCTGAGACAAGGGAGATTCTATCCAAGCTCTCATGGAGCTGGCCTCCTAGTTGGAGAGATGGTCAAATCAAAAGATGATTCTAGTTTGGTATGCCCAAGACAATGGCAGGGGCTTACCTGTGGGGCAAAGGGGATACAAGGGGACAGAGAGCATGGAGAGGTAGAGAAAGGAAACACTTGGTCAGGTCTATAGGATCAGTGCTTCCCCAAGTAGTCAGGTGTGGCAGCATGAAAGGGCATTCTGGGCAGAGGGAACAGCATATGCAAGGGCATGGAGACACAAAAGTACTTGCTTGTTCCAGGATGGACAAGCCCTCTCTGTAGCTGGAGCTCAAAGTAGGTTTCATTAGAGAGAAAATATAAAGTTTGGACTTTATTCAGGAGCCAGCGGGTTCACCCTTTACTCCTGAGTTTTCCAGCAAGGCAGGGACTTGATCCCATCTCCTCACAGAGTGTAGAGGATGGTATGGAGGCAGAGAACAGACCAGAAGGCTGTCTCTGTAGTCCAAGTGAAAAATGATAAGGTCACAAGTGTGCCCCAGTTGGCCATGGAGCAAGAAGAGAGGGGTTGAGGATGCTGCCTGGGAGGGTGGTAAGGATTAAAGGGGAAGGTGCACTAAGGAGCAGGCATGATTTGGGGGAGCTTTGGTTTGTTCAGATCATAGTGACCAACCCCAAACACACAGTAGGTGGCCAGGAGTTGGCTCAGGCCTCTCGGAGCTGCCTGCACAACTGGGGGGGAGGGGTGGCACTGCTGGGAAAGCAAGCCTTGGGAACCCAGGGGGCTCTTGTCAAAGATAAGGCTGGAGACTAGGAGACCAGTGGCTCGACTTGCATTCGTCCCCAGCATTCACCCAGTTCCTAGAAAATGTATAACATCATGGGGTTGTCTGGGAAAAGGATTTATCTTGACATAGCAAGAGTCTTAGGAATTTGGCTAAAGGAAAATTGATTACAGAAAGCATTTGTGATGAAGTTGGATGTCAAGGCTGAGTCAATAAGGGATGAGAGGTAGCTTAGTTTGGGGGAAGCAGAAATCAGCCTCCAAAAGGGCCTTGGGGCCATTTGGCCACCACTGCCCAAGACCCTTCCAGAGGGTTTCCCTGGTTGCATCATGGTGTCCTCTCCATCCTTCTGGGAGGCAAGCAGACGGCAGGTGGGAAGGAAAGAGGGCTTGGGAGTAGGGATAACGTGGTGAACACCTCCTAGATTTCACATTCTCCTAAGCCAGCCTTGGGGATGGAGGGATGGCTCATGCTTGGTACTGGGATGCAGACATGCTTCATCCCTGAATCAGAGCCTGGCTGTACACAGAGCATAGTTAATAGATAATGCCCACAGGAGGTGTCCTGGGAACACAGAAGCCAGAACTACTGAAGGAGAAGGAGTGGAGGCTGCACAGAGAAGGAGACATTGCAGCTGAATCTTAGAGATTACAGGCTTTGCAGGGACATCCTGTATCTAGGGAAGCACAGTGGGAGTGGCCTCCATTGGCAAGCACAGTGCCTCGTACGCAGTATGTGCTTGGTGAGTACGTGAATGAATGCTCTCCTGAAGATGTCAGTTTTCAGAATGCTGGGATTTAAACCAACAACCCTAACATGAGTGCATGAGAAGCTTCTTAAGAAGAAATAGTGTCCACCAAGCCTGCTCTGAGCTCTCCTATTACTATGAGAAGAGCTCAGAGCTTTCTGCAGAGGAACTCAAAGGCATTTTTTTCTATAATCAACTACATGCATTAAAGGGAGTGATTTTTTACTTTATTCTCCCCAAGCCAGATTCCATTAATGAAGCCCCATTTAACAGAAGTCAATTTACCAAAAAGAAAAAAAAAATTGAGTGTAATTGCTTAAATACATTTTATGTTGCACTGCAATAGCAATTTCCTGGGCGAACTTGGAATTCCCCAGGCCCCCCATAGTGAAGTTAATGTGGACAGAAAGGTTTGAAGGGGAGAATCTCTCTTTGTGTTTCTCTCCTTTAATTATGGTTCTAAGAGGGAGCAAAATTAAAGAGAATCCTGGGGGGAGGGGAGAGGGGCAGGACAGGAACAGAATAGAACTCAGCCTAGACTGTCCCACTACCTGCCTTCATCCTTGCATGTGTATGTTAGTACAATGCAGTGGCTGAGCACATAGGCTCTGAAAGGGATGGCCTGGATTTGAATCTCCCTTAATAGCTGTGTGACTATGAGCAAGTTCCTTTACCTCTCTGTGCAGCTAGGTGGTGCAATGGGAAAGGGCATAAAGAGAGCCAGTGCAAAGGCAGAGGCCCACAACAGAGCAGCATGCGTTCTAGTACACGCAAGCCCTTCTGTTTGGCTGGAGAACAGAGTGTGTGTGTGAGTACATGTGTATGTGTGTGTGTGTGTGCACTCTCGGGGCAAAAAAACAGGCAGGAGTGACACCAGGAAGGCTTCCCTGAGACGGTGACATCTGATCAAAGGCTCAGTGAGAGGCTGAGCCAGGTGGAGGTCTGAGAGCAGAGCCAGCGTAGCAGGCAGAGGGAATGTCAAGTGCAAAGGCCCAGAGGCGGGACCGGGCCTGGCTGGTTTCGAACAGCAAGGAGCCCCATGTCGCTGGAGCACAAGGATTAAAGAGTGAGGAGGGAAAGAGGCAGGAGAGGTGAAGGCGCACA